CATCCAACCCAAATCACCTTTGCTTTAACGCAAGCATTTTTCTTCTTGCTCAAACCTCCAAGTTTGTAACTGAAAACAGCCTAACACTAAAACCATTCCACTGAAGTACCACCTATTTAATGGACACAATGTGTTTCACGGACACAGTTTGTCAAAATTTGGTCAATAAACAGAACTAACCTAGGCATCATAGAGGTGCAGGTCATTGAATACTAACTGAAATAGAATGAAATAGAAATAAGCATGCTTTAAAATATGCTTAGCAATGTAATTGGGGGCTGCTCAGGATACTTGTCACATAAACAGCTGCTGGGTAAGAGAAAGGAACAGTTTTCTGACTGTCTCTTACTTATCTGAAAGTTTTGCCTTCAGAATTAGCCAAGCAATATTTCTGTTCCCACTTTAGGTCTTTTTCTTCCCACATTTTCCTACCTGCTTGCACATCAGTTGTGTTTGCTTAATCTCCCTATTAGTGATAGAGGGCTTAACAACACCAATAGGAAATTAAAGGAAGAGGACAGTCAGTGTGATTAAATCTCAGACAAAGAATAATTAGTTAGTCAATCAATCAAATGCTGGAAATAACCTAGAGTTTTTCCCATTTTCACTAGATAGAATAATGGTTTTCAGCTCTAGACTGCATATTGGAAATCACCTGGGGAGCTTATTAAAAGTATCAAATCCTAGAACATGGCAGGTAATTTTGATTTAATAGGAATTAGGTGATTCCCAGGCATTTTTTTTTTAAAGTACTCTATATTCTGCTACTCCAAATGAGGTCTGTGGACTAGTAGGCAGTGACATAACCTGGGAGTTCATTAGAATGGAAAATCTTGGGCCCCACTGATTATCAACTGAATCAAAATTTTCACTGATGCAAGAATCCTGTTCAGTGATCTAATAGAAAGCCTGGTTCAGAGCCACTGGGTAGAGGAAGTGAAGAGAAGCAGAAGGCACTGAGGGTGCGAAGATGGAGGAGATGATGAAGGAGGAATGGATGGGAAGGAGGAAAAAAGGGGCCGGGTGTAAAATGTAGGAAGAAAACGCAAAGACTTTGCCTAAATTTACGTCATTTGTTTTTTAATGGGCAGAAGTCCTTTTGTTTAGTCACCGTGATGTCAATGCTCTGTTTTGCATCATTTATGAATGTTCATTTTTCTTTTGTAACTCATAAGAAGTAACAGTAAATATTTGATTAGTAAATTGCTAAAGTTCTTCAAATAAAATTAATTTCTTCTAAGGGAGTAACTTTAAGGGTAGTTACTATTATATTTTAAGAAGTAATTAAGCCCTTGTTTTTATTAGTGAAATGTTGATGTAATAAACCTACTTATAGATAATTTAGTTTTTTTGAGATGATAGATATTCTCTCAGCAGCATCCTCTTACTACTACAGAATGCTTGGTTCCTTAAATGTTAAGGACCCAATATCCATCTGATTCTCATGGATATTTTGAATGAATCCCCGTTTCCAATTTCAAATTTACCGACCCTAATATAATAAGCATTTTAATTTCCCAGGTTTTATCTTTTATGTTAAGCAATCAGAGTTAGTGATGTACCACTAAAGAACAAGCTAGTAAAAGTTCAACCCAAATATTGTAATGTACCCAATGAAGCAATTTAGAAAAGATAATAAATATAGGGGAAAAAAATTCTAATGAAATAATAGTCAAGCAAGGATGGAAATTAAAATAACCAAAGCAATTATAAGTTAATGTTCCCATGGAGGCTAAGTGAATTATCTGATTGATTTCAGGACCTGTTTTTTGTTTTGTGTTTTCATCATAATAAAATATGACTATAGTTTGATGTGTTTAATTCATATTAAGTAATGCTTATTAATCAGCAAGTGCCATTAAACAGACTGTACAAAGGGAAAGTTTTCTTTCTGGAAACAAAACTCATAACAATGTGAAGAAATGTTTCTTAACAGTGTCTCATCATTATTTAGAGATTAAGCTTATTGCTTTGTTCTTTTGCTTACTTATTATCTGTCAAGCAAAGATTTCTAAATACGTTTCATGCTTACTGAACTTTAGGTGTGTGAAAACTATGATAACAAATAGTGCTTTTTTAGTGTTAAATGTATCTTACCTTTTGAAAAAAAATAATTGTAGACTGCTTTTGAAACAAATCCCAGAATTCCCTTTTAATATCGTAAATCAAAATTTTAAAAAATAATGACTTAGAAGGATGTTTCTTTGCATGTTTCTGAAATGGAGTGGCATCTCTAACATCAAAATGTCCTGAGAAAATGTGAGATAGGTGACCACTGTATGGAAGAAATTGCTATTTTGAAAAATTTATAGTTGACAACACATATGATTGAATAATTTGAATACATGTTTTAAAAGTTCACAGTATAATAATTATTGAACCTAAGGTTGTACTACGTTAGATTCTTTTTCTAACATATTGTTTTTATATTTAAATAGTGTACTCAATGAGAGAAATTATCTTATGAACATTTAATAAATAATTTATAAAAATAAAATCATGGTTATTTCTTTAAATACTATATACATTAATTTCCTCATTTGGTAGGAAAGACCAAAGTATATAAATAAAGAGAAATTGAAACATTTTGTATAGTTACCTTAAATCACCATAGAGTTAAAAAGAGAAATTAACACTTAGACATATATGTCTAGGATTAAAACATGGTATGATTTGTAGGATATGATTGCTCTCTCACTTCATGCTATTTTCCAGCTGAGCAAAGCCTGTCAACTAAAAGCAAATTAGTAGACTGTCCTGTGATAACACTGATTTCAAATCTAGTAATTTGATTACTTAACATATGTCTGCCATTTCAATGAGCAACTCTTAATACATCAAAAGAGCCTCATTGAATCTGGAAGAGAGGAATTATATTTGAATCTGTTCTTTCCAAAAGTGTCTTTAAAAGTGTTTCCTTTATATGGTATTAATTACTAATAGGACATCTAAATAAATATAACAATTGGTTAAAAGATAGGAACGTTAATGTAAAGCACATGTATGAATATGAAGAGTTAATGAGTAGATTTAATTCATCTGCTTACTTGCTCAGAAGCAAGTGTGTCAGATTAACTCAGGGTGGAGATGTGTCTGAAAAGGTTTCAGAGCAAAATGGCACCTTAAGTGGATCTTATGAATGAGTATTTGCTAGACAGAGAAGGCAGATAGGGTTCTTTTCGTCATGAAGGAATGCATTGTGAAAAGGCAGTGAAAATTACAGTTAAGTACCATGAAAGGAACTGGGGACCACAAGTGGTATTTCTCTGTCTGGATGTGAAGATCACAATGAGAGTAGTGAGAGATGCCGGTAGAAATGATGGTCAATTGATAGAGGACTTTTCTTCCTTGCTAAGGGTTTACTCCTCTAGTGCAGAGATGGGAAGTAAGCTTCATACTGTGAAACAACACTGATTTATATGCAGTTGCCCATATTTTCCAATCATTACTTTTAGAGTGGCATAGAGGATTGTGATCTGAGAAATCTTTTAGAAGGCTATGTAATAATTTAGAGCTAAGTCTCAGAACAAAGTTGGAGTAGAGAGGAGAGACAGTAATGAAAAATATCTATTGCTAGTATTTGGGATTTTTATTAGGTATGAGAAGTGAGGGTGAGGGGAAAGGAGAAATAGAAAACATGTCCCCAAATTTTAATTGAGCTACTGGATGGTTGGTACTATCACTTGTTGAGGCAAGGGAACAAATAAGAGAGATATACTCGATGGTGGAGGTGGGGAAATGATACATTCCATTTTGTACATCTAAATGAGAACTTTTGTAGACATCTAGAAATACATATTGCATCTCAATAGAGAATTCAGATCTGGATCTGATGTTATCTACCTATAGGTAGTATGCAAAGCAGAGATGAATGATTTCATCCAGGTACATGAGCCCTTAGACCAAAGAAAATTGTGAAGACCAGCTCTGAGGAACACTAGAGTGGAGTCTTGCTATGATAAGCAGTGAAGGAAGCTTTGAAGAACTCAAAGAGGTGGGAAGAAACAAGGCTGAAGTGGAAATACAGAAGCAAAGAAATGATGTGCTACACATATGCTGTAAAATTCATTTCTCTAAATACTTTTAAAATATATCTTTGGAATAAGTGTGGTAAGCAGAAATGTGTCCCTCAATGCTATAATTTTGATGTCCAATGTATACCTTGACATACTGCTGTCAGCTTGGATTGAAGAATGTTATAAGAAAAAACTAATAGAAGTTTTTGTTGTGTTTGTTATGAATAGATCTCTCTCTCTCCCTCTCTTCCTTTCCTCCTTCTTTCTTTCCCTCCTCCATCCTTTCCTTCCTCCTGTGGTGTTGCACTCTTCCTTACACAAGTCCCTCCTTTTTCAGAAATCTTAGAAGAAATTTCACTTAAATCTCAGGAATAGAAACAGTTGTGCTACTACAGATCCATTATCTATCTCTCTTTGACTACCTGCCTACCTACCTATTTATTTGTCAGTCACATATCCATTTTATCACCTATCTAGCATCGATGTATCTGATAGGAATGATATAATGTGAATCATGTAAAAGTTTCTGTTCCCCTTTCTGCATTGACTACCAAAAATGTTGCACTCACTCCTGGGGACACCTCCCGCTGCAGGCCCTCACTGTGCACACTGTAAGTTGACTTCGCTGCTGACTCCATCCTTCACGACCTGCCAAAATGTCGCATTCAGTTGTTCTAAATTTGATTCTTTCTTGCTAAATTGTGTGAGTTTTGTAAAGCCTTTAAGTATTTGCTGGAACAAGAAAGAATATAGAAAACAAATTCGTGTATTAATTTTGAAGGGTTTTAATTTTGCAGTAATTTTGGGTGTTACAGTAATTTTGATCAATTGCAGACTTCCTTCAGTAAATGTTTGCTGAGCTGAGTCAATGACAGTTGAGTACATTGTTTCTCCAGGGCTCAACTTTTCTCAGCTACTCCAAATCCCCTTAGAAGTTTCTCTTGGTGGCTGACTTTGATGAGGACCTATCTCTGTCTTCTGCAGTGACAAGGACTGTCTGTGCAGAACAGTGTGATGGCAGGTGCTACGGACCCTACGTTAGTGACTGCTGTCACCGAGAATGTGCTGGAGGCTGCTCGGGACCTAAGGATACCGACTGCTTTGTAAGTCTGGCAGCTGTCCCTTTCACTCTCTGGTCCTCCCCTCCATCCTGGTTTGACTCAGGCACCTTGAGTCTTTAATATCTTATTAAGATAAGATCAAATTTTGCCATTTTAGGATTAAGAAAGATACTCTGACTTCCTAGAAGTCATTTCTTCACTGGGTGGCTATTAATTAACTAGGATTGTTCTGTTCTACTAAACGAATTATGTCTTTCTGATTACAATTTATATTATGAGTGAGGTTTATTGGACAACATGAAGGAGAACATATTGAGATATCTTTTAAAAAGCTAACAGCATCCTTCCAGAATTTACGGTGATTACCTATGTGTGTTGTTGCATCGTTGAGTCGAGTCTTCTGAGTGGGGGCACTTGCATTTTATTTCTCAAATATAAATTTCAAGATTAAATCACACAAATTTATGAATTTAACTGTTTTACAGTTTATATTGTTTACAAGCTAATATTAGTCAAGATTTATAAGATTTACAAATGCACGTTTAAAGCAATTTATATGCTAATCTGTATGATTTTTATTTTAGAAGAGGACACTTTTATGTCCTCAAAATTAATATTTATAGCTTGTAGGGGTCACTTTTTAATTACATTTTGATATCCTTGATAAAGGTCTTTCTGTTCTTTTGAATACATGCAGACAATTCTGTGAGCTATAGTTAATGAAATTTCATACACACAGAGCGTTAGTTTCATTTTAAGCTAAAAATCATAAAATAATAAGCTATTTTTGTTGCTAAAATTGCACACAGGAATTTTTTTTTCCCCTCTCAAATATCCAGAGAATACACAGATATATTTAGAACTGAGTCTTTTTTTCTATTTGGCACTTAATTCTGGAAATAAGCCAATTATAGATTATAGCTCTTATGATGTAGATACACAGTAATTTGTTTTCTTAATGTCACAAGAAACTTAATTTGTCTATCCTAATTTTATAGTGAAACAAAAGTGTGTATTGCAGAAATGAGTAGGGAGGAAGAAGGAAAGAGAAGAAAAATGTTAAAAGTATACAGAAGATGCTCAGCAGATCTTGAACTGAGACCCTTTCCCTTGCCTATCACCAGACACGGGATTGAAGCTTGATCTGGAAGTTGCTGAACAAGTGTTTCAAAACAGTAATTTCAAAACAGTAGCAACAATAAACACCAACAATTGATGTTAACTTTCACTTAGAAGCTTCACTGCATTTTTTTCATGGTTCCATTATCACAATAAGTAGAGTGCTGAGGGAGCTTCAGAATTCTCATTTCATTACTTTTATGGAATAGTCCAGTGATTCCACTTTGGCATTTAGTACAGAATGTTCAAGAATGCCAGACCAAGACTTTGGTGTAAGTTATGTTGTATTGTATGCTGTCTGGAAGGTAAACTTGTTTGATTTCTCTGGCTTATGTCCCTTTGTTGCCAAGCAATCTGTGCACAGCACTGTATAAAATATGTTAGTAAAGCAATTATGAGGACACATGAAGTTTTATACCCATAAATTAAAACTTACTGAGTTTCCTAGATTGGTTTTTAATAGATTCTTCCTGGAGAGTGTCATCTTAGTGAATAATGTATTATCAGTGAATCTCGTTCTGATTATGCATCTCGTAGACCATCATCAGGGAATTGTCATGTTTGTGATAAAGTGCTTGCTAAAACAACAATTGATTAAGAAAATGTTTTGAGGAAACAGAATAAATTAGTGCTTATTAATAAGCATACGTACAATATATGATGATATGTAAAATATAGCTTGAGTTCACATTAGCTTGCCTTCCAAGGCCTAAATTATTCCTATGAATGTTTAAATTGTTAAATTAAGATAATTAGTTCATCCCCTATTTTGCTAATCACATGTTTTTATGTACTTATACATATGTTCTCTTTTCATATCAAATACCTAACTCTTAGGTGGTACAATTGTTTTTAATCATTCTCAAATGCATTTGAACATATTAACAAATTGAGGTCTCAATACAAATATATGTCAGCAGAAACAAATTTACTTGAACTGGTGACTTTTAGTAAATGGTATAACATTATGAAAAAGACTATATAGGAAATGGTATCATATTATTTAATTATGGGCTAAGTATAGCTACTTCTTTACATTTTGGCATCGTACCCCCTACATTTACACTTGACTAGTCACCTGCCAGAGACTTTTCTTTAAGTCCAGTTTGAATGACCATCACATTTTCTCACTATATGATGGTGATGAATGGACTTACCATATCACTTAAGGCACTGAACTCTCCAAACCAGCTTTAAGGAAAATCTAGGCTGTACAAATGGAGATTTAGTTGTCACTGCCAGACTCTAAGACTCAACATAAACCCTTTGGATAAGGGTAAGCTTAAATAAGTTTTCACTATTATCTAACTTTAACAATTTAAACCAATTCTCAGTTTAGAAATCAATGGATAGATACCAAGCAATTAGAACATCAATAACTGTAGATGGTGTATTTACTGACATTAGAAAAACAGTTTTGTAAAATTGAGAAGTACAAAACAAATGCAAAGTTAAAAAATAAGCCCTTACAACTAGGAAGGTATCAGATTTTCCAGTTTTTATGAAATTGATGTACACTGAGTAAACAATACAACCTATCACAGAACTGTTGTAGCAGTGTCCCTTTAACAAGTATTATGAAAGTTATTTTTAAAACAAAATTAATCTTTGCTGTGTTGCAGGCCTGCATGAACTTCAATGATAGTGGAGCATGTGTTACTCAGTGTCCGCAAACTTTTGTCTACAATCCAACAACCTTTCAACTGGAGCATAACTTCAATGCAAAATACACCTATGGAGCATTTTGTGTCAAGAAGTGCCCACGTAAGTAACAGGATAAGAAGAGCCAAATCAATTAGCTCATCATTTAAAAACAGAGGAATTTCATGTAAGTTTATTGAATTTCAAAATTGTGACAATATTGTGAATTACTTGAGAATTGGTACTATTATTATCATTTCACAAATAAGAAAATTAAAATTCAAAAAATTGAAGTGATTGGTTCATAGTCTCAGCAAAGTAGTGGCATGTTTGAAGTTATAGTACAGTGTCATTCATTGACTTCTAAACTCAATATTTTCACTATATGTCAATGGTTTTGCACACGATTTTGTTCCTCAGAAAAGTGATTAGTTAAGTAGCAGCAAGCTATGTAATGAAAGAGATCTGCTCTAATAACAATGCATTTTCACCTAAAATTATTTCTTATTATTTATTTGTAATAGAATGTATAGCATTGTAGTTTTAACATCAAATCCAATGTTAAAAACAATAACAGTGGATATAAAGGGCATGTTAAGGGGCCTTTACCAAATTGACAATTCATCCTGGGGATACAAAATGACCAATTTAGCTTTCATCAAGAATAGTATATGTCTCAATACCTGTTCAGGTCAGTTTCTTTGCTTGAAAAGACCAATGAGACAGTTCTTCAATGTTTTACTTACTGGAAGGCTAAAAAAAGCCACTACTTTTATCCACATACTCAATTAAAAGAAGACTTTACATTCTACAGCACACAGATACTGTGTTTTTGTTCTTGTTTTGCTTTGTCCACGTGATGAAGTATGAAGTGTAAGGGACATGGTATTAGAGTGGCTTCGGTTATAGCTTTGCCCACTTATTAGTCGTGTGATTTTAGATAAACTATTTAGTTTTCTATTTCCTCCTCTTTAAAATGTGGATAATCATATGTACCCTCTCTCTTTCCCAGATACATTATAAAGATCAAAGGGATAGGGGATAGGGTTCAGAGGAATAGTATGTAAAAACAAGTCTTTGAAAGCAATGATGATTCCAGCCTTTATTATTAAATATTTTATATTGATTAAAAGAATAATTATGAGTGTATATATATATATACATATATATATATATATTTAACATGGCTCTAACTTACCATTTTAAAATCACAGACACACTAACTCTAGGATAGAAGAGATTTTTCCATCTTAAACAATTTTATATCCAAAGTTATGTTTTTGATCTAACAACTTCTCATCTGAAGTTACCCTATATTTCCCCGTCTACTATCTTGCAAAATATGGGGCTTGAGAGTATTGTAGAATGTGGCTAGATGATGAATTTCTTCGGTTCCTTAGACAAATGTCCTCCTGCTCTACTACTTCATATTATGGTGGCTTGCCCCAAAGATAGTCAAAACCATGCTTTTTTGAAATTTTTGGTGCTTTCCTTTTTATTCAAGCCCTGAGGTTGAGGCCCAAGGCTTGGGCTGGAGTGCAAGACCAGAAAAACCTGAGCTAGGGAATTTTCCTTTTCTTTATTACATCCTTTGTAGTGTCTCATCTCAAGTCTCTCAACTCCTAAGTTATGACAAGGGGCTAAATACTTAGGACTGTTTTTTGAAATTAAATGCCCAGTTACCATAGATATGGTAACTCATAAACTTCCTTTCATGGATTAGTTTAGGTCTATCCAATTACAGATTAATTTAAAGAACTTCATTATTTATCTATGTAAAATTCAAATCTTTGAGGGACCTTGATTTGCTAAACTGTAGCTGTCTTAGAAAAACAAAGATGTTCAGTTTCTAAATACTGGTCTACAGTTCCTAATTCAGAATTCTGAAATTCACAAACCCTAAACAACAAATATTTTTTGAAACTAATTTGACTGCAAAATCTGAACCTAACCGATAATGAAGATATTTGTAACCTTCTTTAAAAATTTCACTTGGCATAAATTGCTGCAAAACGTGGAAGTTTTTAAATACGAGGTATCCCTAAAGACCTTGCAGAAAGGATGTTTACACCTGTTGCAGGTTGGGTTCCCCTGAGACAGAGACTATGGTTGTTTAAGAAGTGTTCTCAGAATCAAGACCCATGAGGGAAGGAAATGAAGCGAGATCAGGCTGTGACGGAGTCTCAGCAAAGTGTCTCTTTTGTGGTGGATGCCCTCTAGTGGATATTAACTTGGAATACAAAGATCTTCACACTTTATACCCACTCTCATGGATTCATATATATGCCTCTACCTCAGATTCCCTTCAATCCCAATTCCAGATTTTCCAGTACTTCTTCTCCTAGGGCAAGCCACTGCTCATGAGTTCATATTTATTCTAAACTCCTATTTATTCCCTACAAAGTAAAGGATCATTTGTACTACCCAGAACTATGCCCATTGGTGGGATTTTTCCTTGCCACTATATTTCAAGTCCACTCCTGACTGAGGCTGCAGGGCAGCTGCCATCCATTTTCAGCTGCTTGCACCCACACCCCAAGCTTAGTTTTTGTCTTCCTCTGTCAGCTTGTCATACGTGCCCTCTCTTGGTCCCCATGCAGCCATGGGTATGAGCTTAGTGAAAGGTGCCAGCACAGTGGTGGATGACGTGGGGATTTGGACCACCTGCTTATGCAGTTTACTCGTGCGTCTACCCCTGCTCACATCAATCCCAAATGTACTGCTTCCATCTTACAATGGATTGCTGTTGGACCTGCTCAACATTATGATGGTTTTTAACAAAACCTTGTGTGTGATGGGCAATTCTGGCTACAAGATCAATCCGTGACTCATGGTTAGGTAGTCTGTCTCTGCCAGGACCCAGAAGTATGTCAGGAGTTGTTTATTAAATGGTGTATAATTCCTAGAGGTCTCAGTTGGGATTTCCCGGTCAGGACTTGCCATAACTCCACGTGGCATATCTTCCCGCCAGAGATACTTCTAATGTCATAGAGCCTCTTGGGTTTTGTGATCCAAGTAGCAGAATTGCTTGTACCCCAGCCTGGACCTGCATCATGTGCCTTTCCTGCTCTGGGCCCCCTTCAAGGTTGGAAGCCTTCTAGACTACTGAATGTTGGGCCAGAAGCAGTTTTTCCAAACATGGAAGGATGCTGCCTTCAAAACCCAAAGCAGCCTAGCAGGTATTGTGTTTTCCCTTTATCGTGGGAGGCCCTAGATGCAAAAATTTGTCCTTATTTTTGGGAGGGAATGTTCTGGCATATTCCAGACCACTGGATTCCTAAACATTTCGCCATGTCAGGTAATTAGATGTTCCTGGTTTAGTTAATATACCTTTCCTAAAGTACTGCCCTTTCAAATTTCATTTTGTTTCTTCGTGTAAAACTATGGGACAGTTTCTACGGCACTCCAATGAAAGATGAACACATTTTAAACATTTCTTCTTGGATATGAAGTGCACTCCCTTCATCCAAGGCAGTTTAACTTCAGCTTCATTTGTGCTTCATGTAACTTGAAGTATTGTTAGACTTCAAACTTGCATGATGACGTGAAATGAAGTGGAACTACTGAAAAACACAAACTAAATGTCATGCAGTTTCCTAAGTCTATAAAAGAAATTCACTATCTTGGGGGCAATTCAGAATGTGGAGCAGTAGTCAAGCAAGTACCAGTTGTTGTTAACACACACTGCCCTTGGATTTGAATGTGGGTGTTCGTAGATGCTATTTCAGGTGGAGATATTTAGACAGAGTTGTTTTAGGGAAAGAAACATACATACTATCATTTTCAAATGAAAATAATTTTCAAACCCTAAAATATCTTGTTTTAAAATCTTTTGCTGAACCTCAACATTATTGTTAATTTTACCTTTTTTTTTATCAGATAACTTCGTGGTCGATTCCAGTTCCTGTGTGCGTGCCTGCCCTAGTTCCAAGATGGAAGTAGAAGAAAATGGGATTAAAATGTGTAAACCTTGTACTGACATTTGCCCAAAAGGTGATGATATTTTTTTTCATTTTATAATGAAAAAATACTGTTATTTTATAATAAAAATGCAATAATTTATTGAGTAAAGAAAAATTTTCTCAGCTCTCTAATTGTGCATCTTGTTTCTACAGCTTGTGATGGCATTGGCACAGGATCATTGATGTCAGCTCAGACCGTGGATTCTAGTAACATTGACAAATTCATAAACTGCACCAAAATCAATGGGAATTTGATCTTCCTAGTGACTGGTATTCATGGGTCAGTATTTTTGTGGAAAATTGTTTTACGAAGTGCAGACAAAGCTTAAGAGATTCTTTAGTTTTGTCTGTTTGATTCCTTTTGACACAGAGTTCCACTACACATTAATGCTTTCCTCCAACAAAGTCAAACGCCAGATTTCACCAGCAGTGATAGTAAAACAAATTTTGGGAGTACATCCAGATTATGAATTTGGTGACAACTTAGATTTAAAAATATCGATTTATATATAAGCTAAGATGTATTTACAGGACATTTTCTTCAAATCCATAGATTTCAGTAAGCTTGGCACATTTGTGGATATGTTTAGGGAAACAGTATCAGTGGACAAAGTGGGGAATTTCATTCAAATTCCTAACCAGTTAGTTCAAAACAACATAAATTAATGCATCTCACAGAAAAAAAATCAGTAAGTTGAAATTCTGAGCTTTCAGGTGTTTTCTTTGCCTTGCTGCATCTTTTTCTGTTTTAGACTTGGGAAGTTAGTGATAAATCTATTAAATGAATTTCATTTTAGCAATAAAAATTGTAACATTTTCTGGGCCCCTTCATTACAGAACCACCTGCTGTTTTTAACCGGGAAAATGACCAAGTTTGCATCCTTTCAACTGTAATGAAAATATCAATATTTTTACTTTATATTTTATCTATTTGTATATATCACTACTTAGTTCCTAAATATTAGTGCTACGGGCTACAGATAAAAAATATCACTCACATATTTCAATTCAAAAGATTACTCTAAACATATATCATTTCTAGAAGCAAAACAATTTAACACATTATGAATAAATACGTCAAATAGGAACAACAAGAGAAATAGAACAAAGCGTTTCTTTCCATTCAGATAAATTACCGTAGGTCTTAGTACATAAAGCATTTCTTTACTTTAAAATATAGCTTTTAATATGGATCTGTGCCAGAAGCTGTAATAGTATGTATTCACTTTCTGTTATATTTGGTCTAAGAGGTGTTTCTTGTTGTTTTGTTTTGTAAGATAAGATCCAGATTTTTAACGTCTCTTTAAAAAAAAATGTGCATGTGATTACTCTTAGTTTACATGGCAACAATCTATTGGAGATGGGTGGTACTACCATTTTGAGATGGGACACATTCAGTCGGCTCCACCATGGACAATCTGTATTGAGCTGTGTGGCTTCTATGTCAAACAACTCCAATGTAAAGTTGAGAACTGGGTTAATAATAAATACCTACATCTTCTGGTTGTTGTGGAGATTCAAAATAAAACAAAATATACATTTTTTTAAGTGTTCAGCTCAGTGCCTGGCATACAGTAAACCTTAATAAATGGTATAAAAAAGAAAGAAAAAGGTGGGGGAAGGGAAGGAGTAAAGGAGGGAAAGGGGAGAGAGAGAGAGAGATAAAGAGAGAGATTGAAAAGTAACAAAAATAGAAGTTAAAAATCGCTAAACCCCTGAAACAAAAGAAAGTTAAAAAAAAGGAGAAAAAGGCACTTCAAGAGGAAAATCTCAGTGACTATATCTAGTATATAGCACAGCATATAGTGCAACAGATAATATCTCATAGACTACTGGAAACCAAATAAAGACAAAGTTATTTTCATGGCAATCCTTACTTTACGATGTCATACTTCCTAGTTCAGACGATTATTATTTGTCCTTAATTATAGCACTTAAATTTAACATTATAATTAATATTATTGTGTCTTAAGCATAATATATAAGGCATTTTCCAGGACAAATATATATGTGAAATATGATATGTTCCTCACTCCTAGTCTCATGCCAACATGAAACATATTCTGAAGCCTTTCCCTTTCATTTTAGGAAAGTATTAATATAAAGTTAATTGAGTAGGTCTCAGACACTTATGTGTAGGCATATGTGTATTCATGTATGTAATATGTGTGTGCATATGGACAAAGAGAGAGATTTTAAAGATGAATAACATGAGGTATTATTAACAAAGTTTTCAGTAAATTAACAAAATTTTTTACTTCACTTAATTTCCATTACCCTAAATCTTCTACTATCTAGTTTTTAATAGGATGTATGGTTTGATTAAAATAGCTAGGGTATTTCTTTAAACTAATAGAAATGAAAAACCCATAATTAAGTAAGAGTGTACTTTTCAAAAACAAATTTCTGCAAAAAATAAATTTACTGTGAAGTTGTCAACTAAAATGTTAACATATAAAAGAGATCAATGTTCAGTTTATAGCACGATACCACCATTGCTAGAAATAAACTAGGCATTCTTATTTCCTTATTTAGAATGGGAATTGCAGACAAAATTCAGCGTTCAGGGTTATCATAGGATCCCCTTTCATGTCTTGTCATGTCTAATAATGTCCCTGTGAATATGCTTAGAGCAATAAAATGCTCACCAAATAAGCATGTTCATGCTGTGTCACAGTGTGACACAAACAAGAAAGTACTTAGATGATCGACTGTAATGATGATAGACAATGGGAAACAGATAATGAGCTTGGTGAAAAAAATAACGTGATTTCTATGGAATTGTGAAAATATGTTTCTCTCTCTTTATCCTGAGCTTTATTTTGGATCACCCAACACAATAACAGGGTGGACATAATGTTTTTTTTCATGGTCCTGAATTTAGCTAGGAAAGTTCTCAATTTTAAAATCTATGGATTTCAAGTGGCTGTAGGATGGAACTCCCTCGGGGTACTTTTAAGTTGGTAAGTGGGATTCTGTCAATTTATTTTATGAGAGTTCTGAATCTCTAAAATTAAGTATATAAAATTTCTGTGGTCCGCTGGGCTTCATGTGAACAGTCCAGAATTCATTTCATTCCTGGCAACCTGGAAGTGTTCTCAGTAAAGGTTTGGACTGACCCCATTATTGTGTGCTTGACCTGAACTTTGAGTGTTTCTCAGTAAAGCAGGAATATTTGATTATATGGCTAGAGCTATTCTAGACACTGCTTTTCATCAAAGAACAAATGTTGAAAGTTCATTCTACTACTGCAGAGCTGATATTTCATGTGCATGCAGACCTCTTTGCACATTAGAAAATGATAGCAACCAGAATTTTCCCGCATGATGAACCTAATTTTGTGGCTCCATTTTCACTGAAAACATAGATATTCATTCTATATATCTTCAGTTACAAATAGAGCAAGTTTGCTAGAATATTCATTTAGACTTTAAGCTTTTGAAAGATATTCATGTCACGTTAAGGAAAATCTTAATTGTTTATGTGTGAATTATGGGGACACTCATTTATAGTGTTTCCAAGCCTTCTATAACACACCATGTTAAACTAGTAGCACAATGTATTGATTAAACTTCTTAGTTTTTCTCAGTTTGAAGCAGTAATTTCATTAAGCAAGATTTTTTTTTTCTTTTAAAAGATATGGGATGGTTCACAGTATAGAAAATATGCTGATGAATCAAGCAGAGAGAGCCAGTAAAAGGTGGTTCCAGAGATCAAGTTTGCTGAACTAATAGAGAATGTTTTCAAGGCTCTAATGCCAGGATGAATAAACGCTGGTGGGTTCAGAATCAGATTCTTAGAAGAAAGGCCATATGCTTATCTGTTTGTCAGGGGATTGTGGAGCACATTGACTGATAGCCTCCAATGGATCATGTATCCTAGTGTTTATTCCCCATGTGAAAAAGAAGGTTCTCAGAGACTGGTAAAACAACAGATATCCAGTACAAGGATAAAATTCAGTTGATTGCTAAAGGTGGATACAAACGGCTAAAAGAGCCTAATTCCTTGTTTTTAGAACGTTTGATCTCTCTTGGAGAAATGACCAGTGAATGGAATTTAATTTTTCTCTGAAGAGTATATATTAATGTAAGGTTTCTACTTGCCCAGAATAGCACAGAGCACCTTTTAAAGTAATAAAACCTAGAAAAACTACTAAATATTACTTAAGAAAATCTGAAAGTATTGCTTGAATTACTGAGAAATGTTTAATATTATGTTTATATTTGGCTTAATATTCAAGAATGTAATTATTTTGTATGGGCAGGATGTTATAAATGAAAACTATTTTCCTAAGATGAAAACTTCTGAAAAATTCCATTAAATATTTAATTTTAAAGGTATTTTATATTAATTTTTGTAAAGACAGGGCATTTATGTATCAATAACATTAATTACAAAAAAATATATTTATGCATTAGGAGATTGTATTTTTAAAAATCCCCAAAATTTACAACACATTTTTAGTATTGTTAAATTTGTGGTAAATTTTATTTTCAAATGTTAGTGTGATTCATATAGAGGGAAGCAAATAGTTCCTGTCATATGAAAGTGAACATAAATAAACAGATAGGAACAAGATTGCCCTGATAGATAAATGTGAAAATACAGAAAAATAAAAAAGTTTACTTCCTGTATTTGTTTTCACCTTTCTTATGAAATTACAGGTTCTGTTAGCAATTTAGTATGCTTTGAGGAACCCAAAAGGCAATTATTCTCACCATAACATAATTTATTTGCAGTGTATATTTTTCCAATTGAGAACAAACTTTTAAAGGCAAAATAAAGTGGTTAATGAATGGAATTGCTATATTTGGAGGTTTATTCAGGATAGTCAAATTGAACCGTGCCTCTGGATCTAGAATAGCCTTCAATGAAGAACTCATAATCTGTGTCATCAAAATTTCCTGAAAGTACCTTTTAATCCCCTTCCACATCTAGCATAGAAAATCTGGATAAAACATTGCTAACCTTCCTATTGCTAATTAAAATTCAATTGGAATGAAATAATTTTTGTCACATTTCTCATATTTTCACCCCTTTATCTAATTTTAAGTTCAGCTTCATTTTTTTTTTTTCCCCCCTAGGGACCCTTACAATGCAATTGAAGCCATAGACCCAGAGAAACTGAACGTGTTTCGGACAGTCCGAGAGATAACAGGTAATTTTTAAAGTGAGTTTGTTGTGCTATGAACTATGTGAATTTTAGTCTTTTGTTAAAAATATTACATAGTATTGGAATTTTCAAAGCAAATTCTAGTTTTGAAAACACGTATTATTTTAAATGATGGGTGTCTTAGTTCCTTAGCATCTGTGCACATTTTGAAATCTGTGGAATTAAAAAAAAATCCTTGAAATTTTGATGTTACTGTTTTTGCAAATGTCAGTGGATCTTTGAATCAATGTGTTTCTATTTACTTTTCACAAGTACTATTGAGGATGGGTAGCAGGTAGGATTCATTTAGCACATGTTTATTGAGGACCTGATATGTTCAGAGCTGTCATAGTAGATGATATGGGGCCCATAGACATGAATCAGACATGGGTTTGCTATCAAAGAATGTAAAATCAATAAGGAGGCTTAGTTATATACATAAATGTCTTAAAATGCAAGACAGACAGCTGATGTTGTAAATGTACAGATAAGGTGGCAAAAGATTTCAGAGAAATTAAACTCTTTGTCTAGTTAGACTAAATAATTTTAAATAATAATAGTAAATAAATATAAATAATAATAAAAATCAAATTAAGAATCATTTAAATCTTTAAACCATACACTTATATGATTCTGTATGTATATATTCTAGGTGTTCATTATTTTGACATTCTTCATCTATTGAGTATTGTAGCCCAGAAACTTTGGGTAAGACACTGAATATTGGAAGAAGAAATATGATACAGAATGGTTCAAAAATAGGAATATTTGCTGCCTTTTCCTTACCTCCCATTTTCATCATATTTTAAGAATAATTGGTATTAAACACTGTTGCTGAGACAATGATATTCTGAATTATTTTACTGCCCTTATCTTTTGTAGGTTTCTTGAACATACAGTCATGGCCCCCAAACATGACTGACTTCAGTGTTTTTTCTAACCTGGTGACCATTGGTGGAAGAGTACTCTATAGGTAGGTGTATATATTCAAAGTTACAGGTCTCTGAATCATGTGTACATTATGTCATGACCATCAGACTCATTGATTTACTGATTCTAGAAATATTGGTTTTCCACTTTAAATTTTAAAGGAAAACTCAATGAAAAATACCCCTGATTGTGCTTTAAAGTATACAACTTGATTTATCAACTGCCTGTCACTTAAAGTAATTTTAGTGTTTGGCAGTTGTGGAGTACATGATGTGAACCATAAAACTGAACCTTCATTTTGATCATATGTTATCATAATTAAAAGATAGACTTGAATGACTTTGTAATGACTTCGGTGTATAGGATAGAAATGCTGTTTTTCCAGGAGGTTCTCGTTTTGTCTCTGGAGCTATCATTTGAACAAAGCATCACAGCACTGATATTTTAGAATTTGGTCCACTATGCTACATGCAGTGCTGGTTAATAATGGACAGATAATCAGGGCTCAGAAGGATACTGTTCTAAAGTTCTAATGTCAATATTTTTATTCACATAAGAAAAATATATGTTTTAATATTTATTAAGCCACTGTTTTTATTTTACTTCAGATTTCATCTGCACAAAATTATTGTTTATGAACCGTTAAAAGTCTATTTATATAAGGAGACCTTGATAATTTTTCTACTTAAATCCGAAAGATGCCTAAAGTCAATACTGTCATTAAATATTCTATAATAATGGTTCACAGGAAGTCCATTGAATTTTGCTATTAAAACAGGTATATCTGTAAGAGGTTCTAAAATGTAAAGGGGAAAAGTGCTTAATAAAAAAGGATAGTTGAGAGATATAATCTATTCAAGTGCTATATGGAACCAATTGAAAAAAGTGTTATAAATCTAAGTCAAGGCATTATTATGCTCACGTTGTAATCAACAACTAAGGATGGTTATGATGGGAACAAAGATTTGAGAGAGTGAATTACATCCCATTTGGGTACACACACACGTTATATATCTGTATATTATAGTTCTCCATGCATGTGTCTATATAAAACATGAAAAAAAATCTGAGTACTAAAAGCAAAGCAAATTTAGAGGAAGCTTTGATTTCCAAAATATAAAATAATGTTCCTAAGTTGATTGAAATGTGGGAAACACATTTAGTCTTTAGAAAATGGACAAAGAATTTAATTACAAAGTGGACTATGTTGAGAAAACAACATCCTTGAAATGATAATTTGTTTCTACAATGTAGTTGTTATTTAACTTTTAGAGATGCTGTCTCACTTGTCCAAGCCTTCTGAGTATTTTTTTTTTAGTTTAATTTTATTCTTCTCTTTAATTTTTAACATCTCCTATCCTTACACATTTTTCAAGTATTACAATTAACGCTTTGGTTTTTGAGGTATAAATTAAAGCTAAATATCTATGGTCATTCTCTGAGATATTTACCTTCTGAAAGTGTGTCTAAATCTATTAAGTAGTTAGAGTTGAATTAATGTCTTGCTTTGGGTAGATGAACAGTCACCCCATAAACATTTATTTAATTATTTAGTCTTAATACAGGATTTAATTCTTGAGGAACTTAAGATTCAGGGGTTAGGAGGGAAGGCAGTGAGCAGATACATCAGTGGTACATATATAGACAGAGACAGAGATATCATTGATATTCATAATTATAAAAGATGGGCTTTTTTGGGGGGATTCAAGTGATTACTTTTAAAACAGTCAGCATATAGCATGTAAAGAAATAGTATTTGTGGGCTTCCCTGGTGGCACAGTGGTTGAGAGTCCGCCTGCCGATGCAGGCGACACGGGTTCGTGCCCCGGTCCGGGAGGATCCCACATGCCGCGGAGCGGCTGGGCCCGTGAGCCATGGCCGCTGGGCCTGTGCGTCCGGAGCCTGTACTCTGCGACGGGAGAGGCGACAGCAGTGAGAGGCCCGTGTACCGAAAAAAAAAAATAGTATTTGTATCTCAGGTTTATTAATTCAATCTTTTTTACAGTCTATTAACATTCTTTTTGGAGTAAGATATGACATCCTTATTTTACTTCAAGAATGCATGTCATGGCCAGAAAACAATTATTACTGTTCCATTTTTTTCCTCTCCCCTCTCTTTAGTGGCCTTTCCTTGCTTATCCTCAAGCAACAGGGCATCACTTCTCTGCAATTCCAGTCCCTGAAGGAAATCAGTGCAGGAAACATCTATATCACTGACAACAGCAACCTGTGTTATTATCATACCATTAACTGGACAACGCTCTTCAGCACAATCAACCAGAGAATAGTGATCCGGGACAACAGGAAAGCTGAAAACTGTAGTAAGTACATTACCCAAACATTAAAAATCTAGAAACTTTAAACATTATTTTTCTCATTCTACATTGGACCAAACAGCTAAACATAGTGGTGGGTCAGAATTGTTGTCGTCTTTTTCTCAACCCTTAAAAAAGGTTGGTATAAAATAATCAAATGGGTAACTTTTTATAAAACATTGCATGTTTTTATAATGTATTTCATGTTCTCAAATCTTGCCTAATCATAAGAACCCTCCTGTGGAGATTTAGATTCAATAGGTGTAAGTGGAGCCTGGGAATCTAAATGTTTAATAAGCATCCTGGGTAATTCCTTGGATCCAATCAATTTATGGAAATCCACTCTATTAAATTTTCTGTTTATTTTTTGCTTCAGAGAATTTGATAACATAGAATAACAAAGTATTTGCCATTTAGGAGTGGTAAAAAAAAAAAAGACGTGTTCTTCTGAAATGTGTAAAAATGCTGTTCCAGTAGTTTGCTAAACTTCATTTCATAAATGTGTTTTTGTAGGCATGGAGTGATCTTTTTTCATGTATTTTACTACTTTTTAATCCATTCCATCACTTCTTTGTTACACAGAAGCAAATAATGTTTTCATGAGTATATAACTAAGTCATTCCCATCTTATACTTTGATACTCCAATGATTAATACTTAATTCTTCCCTGTTTTTCTCCTGGGTATTACTTTATTCTGCATCCTATAAGTGCTACTACTATGCATATAGTAGTGACTTACTTATAATAAATACAAAATAAAATGACTTAGAATTTAAAGAATCTGTTTACAAATGTATATTCTTCTTGTGGTCATGATAAGTCAGTCCTTTTAAAAGTCACATTTCTTAAGAAACATTTTGCTCTTAGGAAGTCTTCTTGCTTCTTTAATCTCACCATTGGAACAATCACAAGGGTATACATACATAATGATTAAGTTCATTAAGTATGTGAATGAATAGTATAGGACTTCTTAAAAAATGTAAACTCTTAAGAGGCCAACATGATTTAAATTTACCAAGTAGTCCATGAACTAATTAATTAATTTATATGCCACCTTGTACCAGAAAGGGTTTAAGGCAGCTCAGGCTAGCAATTTTTATAAAATATAACTTATAATTTGTGAGGAATTCACATTTTAGCTCTTTTGGATCCTGAAAAGTATTTTCCAGAGAAAAGAGACCTATTGCAACATGAGATGCCTGTTTTGAGTGAACTTAAGTTCTTATATATTCTTCTGTTCCTCATAGAATCAAGAAATATAAAATATTGTTATATATCAAAATATGCATGTCCACATTGAATGAGATTTATCCTTTCATTGAGCCTAGATTGTTTCCTTGGTTTTATACATTTCTGAAACCTGACAGAAAGCTTGCTTTTTTTTTTTTCTACTTAAGCTTCTTATCCCACAATACTGTATTTGTGTTCGTACATGCCCCAGACAAAGTAGATCATTCATGGAAGTAAAATAGAAACTTTTTCAACACTAACTTATAAATATTTCCCTAAGTTAGGGTTATACTCTCCTTTTCTTTCACTTACTTCAAAAAATGAAACAAAATGAAAATAAAACAATAGTACCTCTACCTTTTAAAGGTAAGATTTAGGTATGAAGACAAAAAAAAAAAACTAAGAAACAATAAAAGAATGAGAGAAAAACATTCTTTTTCTTTAACTCATTTAATCATTTCACAAATCCCTTCTTTTACCTTTTGTAAACCTGAATAAAAAGCAAATGGGAAAAGAAAATGTGGAAAGAAATTAAATGTGAAAAAGCAAGATAGGAAAAATTTATGTAATTATTCCATATCTCTTTAAAACTTCTAAAATTTTGAAAAAAACAAAAGACGATAAATAATATTAATAAATTAAAAATCTAACATTTTCTTCAACTTACAGTGTTAGGTCTCTTGGAGGTTTATCCACTTTTCAAACCATGAACATATTTTATAGTTGACTTTACAGTTTCAGGAAGAAATGAAGCAATTAGAAGAAAGCAGTTTTGTGGTGCTATAATTTAATATTAAGCATATAATTTTTCATTTTTAACGTGTTAGAGTAAACAATTTTTGCATGAAATCCATTTATCAAAATTTGGGTTTCGGTCTCATAGTACATTGGATCCTGCATTTTCAGAAATGTAATTATCCTATAAACTTGACTTCAGATGTGCTGCTGATGTTTACACTGAACCTACAATGGCTGCCCACATGTGATTAAGGCCATTTTATCATCCATAGTATTATCTGCAAAGAGGAAAACAAATATTTGCTTCATTTTAAATGTACTTAAATATTGCATTTTTAGACATTCTTTCTTAATATACCACACACAAGACATATATGAGCACACACACATATTCATTACAAGACATATGGATACACAGACGTACAGCATAAGGTGTGTATTCATATGCTTACACAACACATACACATGTACACAACCCTCGGACACTTACACATGCATTCACACGCATAAACGCAAACACACAGTCACCATAAAATACTCTCATCTAAATCTGTATATTGGCTTGGTAGCTTAAAAGAAAAATCAACCTTGATTTTTAAGTGTTTTTTGGAGTTCAACATGGTTTAAAACAGCAATGACAATAAAAGAAAAACCTCACCTCATCTATAAAGTGTGACCATAGCTTGAGCAATCTTACTCTTTTAAGTCAAAATTTTCAAAGCAGACATACAGATGTCTTTATGGTTTGAAGAGACTGAGATTGAGAGAAACTCTAGGACATGAAAAGCTGGAACATTTTCTACCCCCTTTATTTGTATGGTTGTGGTAGGGACAAAACACTGCTGGTTGGAAGGAGTTTTATAGTAGGTTTATAAAAGTATTTGAAGTTTCTTTAAATAGTTAAGCATAAATTTTTAACACCAGAATATAAACAGTGAAGAGATAAATACAACAAACCTTCGTAATCTGAATTACATTTGAACTCAGACATCTTTATTTTTTAAATATTTGCACATATACACTTAAAACCACATAAAAATGAGAGAAACTATATTCATAATTACCTTTCAAATTGAAATAATTTTATTTTTTAATTATAATAGTGCTTTTATCATTGTTAGAAAACAAAACAATGGACGAATTGTAAAATTTTTTGTTCTAATTCTGTGAAGAATGCCATTGGTAGTTTGATAGGGATTGCATTGAATCTGTAGATTGCTTTGGATAATATTGTCATTTTCACAATATTGATTCTTCCAATCCAAGAACATGGTATATTTCTCCATCTGTTTTTGTCGTCTTTGATTTCTTTCATCAGCGTTTTATAGTTTACTGAGTACAAGTCTTTCGCCTCCTTAGGCAGGTTTATTCCTAGGTATTTTATTCTTTTTGTTGCAGTAGTATATGGGAGTGTTTCCTTAATTTCTCTTTCTGATTTTTCACTGTTGGTGGAGGAATGCAACAGATTTCTGTGCATTAATTTTGTATCCTGCAACCTTACCAAATTCATTGATTAGTTCTAGTAGTTTTCTGGTGGCATCTTTAGGATTCTCTATGTATAGTATCATGTCATATGCAAAGAGTGACTGTTTTACTTCTCCTTTTCCAATTTGTATTCCTTTAATTCTCTTTTCTTCCCTGATTGCCATGGCTAGGACTTCCAAAACTGTGTTGAATAAGAGTGACGAGAGTGGACATCCTTGTCTTGTTCCTGATCTTAGAGGGAGTGCTTTCAGTTTTGCATCATTGAGTATGATGCTTGCTGTGGGTTTGTCATATATGGCCTTTATTTATTTTTTATTTATTTATTTTTAAATTAAGTTAATAATTTATTTTTTTGGCTGCGTTGGGTCTTTGTTGCTGCACCCGGGCTTTCTCTTGTTGTGGTGAGCAGGGGCTACTCTTCATTTTGTTGCACGGGCTCCTCATTGCAGTGGCTTCTCTTGTTGCGGGGCGTGAGCTCTAGGCGCACAGGCTTCAGTAGTTGTGGCTCACAGGCTGTAGAGCGCCGGCTCAGTAGTTGTGGCTCATGGGCTTAGTTGCTCCGCAGCATGTGGGATCTTCACGGGCCAGAGCTTGAACCTGTGTCCCCCACATTGGCAGATGGATTCTTAACCACTGTGCCACCAGGGAAGCCCTATGGCCTTTATTATGTTGAGGTAGGTTCCCTCTCTGCCCATTTTCTGGAGAGTTTTTATCATAAATGTGTGTTGAATTTTGTTGAAAGCTTTTTTTGCATCTATTGAGATGATCATATGGGCTTTATTCCTTAATTTGTTAATGTGGTGAATTACATTGATTGATTTACATATACTGAAGAATCCTTGCATCCCTGGGATAAATCCCACTTGATCATGATGTATGATACTTTCAATGTGCTGCTGGATTCTGTTTGCTAGTATTTTGTTCAGGATTTTTGCATCTATGTTCATCAGTGATATTGGTCTCTAATTTTCTTTTTTTGTGGTATCCTTTTTCTGGTTTTGGTATCAGGGTGATGGTGGCTTCATAGAATGAATTTGGGAATGTTTCTCCCTCTGCAATTTTTTGAAGAATTTGAGAAGAATGGGTGTTAGCTGTTTTCTAAATGTTAGATAGAATTTGCCTGTGAAGCCATCTGGTCCTAGACTTTTGACTGTTGGAAGATTTTTATTTATGGTTTCAATTTCATTGCTTGTGATAATTCTTTCTGGTTCAGTCTTGGAAAATTTTACCTTTCCAAGAATTTTTCCATTTCTTTGGGGTTGTCCATTTTATTGGCATATACTGGTTTGCAGTAGTCACTTATAATCCTTTGTATTCCTGCAGTGTCAGTTGTGATTTCTCCTTTTTCATTTCTAATTTTATTGATTTGTGTCCTCTCCCTCTTTTTCTTGATGAGTCTGGCTAAGGATTTATCAATTTTGTTTATCTTCTCAAAGAACCAGCTTCTAGTTTTATTGATCTTTGCTATTGTTTTCCTCATTTCTATTTCAATTATTTCTGCTCTGATCTTTATGATTTCTTTGCTTTGACTGACTTTGGGTTTTCTTGTTCT